GAAACAATGCTTCGACACGTGCAAGCGACGTTGAAGAGGAGAAGCTTCATTTGCATATTTCGATTTGCTCTTACAAAACACTTTGAATAACAACTTCATTTTAACAATGAAGAATACTCTGAAGGTCACTCACTTAAATATTTAGTTGCTTGATCATGTGTTTGATAATGCGACAGGCGCAAAAAGAAGAAAAGTACCGCTGGTAATACGTACAATATTTGAGTAGACCTAACTACATTCAGAAGCACCTTTTAGTTACCTAAGAATTTCCTATAATCTTAGCAATAAGTTCAAGTTTTCTGTCCAAATATAAAACAATTTCTATGACAATTGGACTTAGCATCAGTGACATATAAGTGTGCAAAAGTTTCATCTTCATGATTTTCAAAAGTCGTTGAATTTTCTTTTATTAAGATGTAAACTAAATCAAATGCAAACTATGGAATTCGTGGAGTAATTCATTCTCTATAATCATAGAATCATAAAAAACATCTGAAGTTTTGCTGAAACATCAAACTGAAGAAAACAATTAGAAATAACGTAATCAACATATGTAAAAAAATTTTTGGACAAGTGGCATGTTTCTAGTCTTATCCAGCGGTATTCTTTGGATTCAAATATTTTCAACATCGCTAATTCATATGAGTTGACCGAATCGAACAAAAGAAAGCTAAATTTGACCCGTGCTCCAGTTTCTATCATGCTAGTCGATGATCTCATTAAATATCATTCAAAAAATGAAGAAAATACAAGCAAATAAATGGTCCATGAAAAATTGACTTGAATGTTTCTCTTCTATCTCACGCGTCATCTATGCTTGTCAGTCATTGGTACGAGGAAATAAAAGGAAAGAAAGAAAGAAAGGTAAATATGACTGAAAAACCATGTGAGCCTTAGTAAACATCAAATTTCCCATTACCTTCCTAATAAAAGTGAATAACTCTGACATATACAACGAAAGCAACATTATTTATACTTTCATGATTAACATGAAGACGATACTATATATTGGAGCAGTGCGAAGCTACTTAAGTAATATATCTTTTATTAACTTCATTCAACCACTTTGACGCAAAAGAGTAAAACGGAAGTGGGATCAGCAATAAGTTTTTCCTAATCAATGATTCGGACCGAATTATGACTGGAGTCAAAACATGATCGGTCCATTCACCCAAAAAAAAATCGCGGATGCAGTAGAATAAATGAACTTTGCAGTGTCATTCTCAATATCTTTATCCATTCTTATTGTTTTTGACTAAACTTTCTTGCAAAAGATTCAGTGTTAAATTCTTTACAAAGTCAAAGAAAAATTTGTGCAAGAGAGATAAAAACAAACTCTTACGAATAGGTCACTATTTAAATGCTTCGAAGCACCATTTCTGATACAATCATGTGTGCTCCATTTAATGGAACATAAGAAAGATTATATTAATCTAAAAATCATTGCAAAGAATCTATTGATTCGAGAACATGTCAAAATGTGCCATATTCGGTCTTTTTACTTTAACCTAATCGAAACAAAAAGGCATTTATCTGGAACCGAGATAGACCCACATATTATGACTCACTACCTTTTTAACTATTAAAAACATGTTCTAAAAATCTCTTGACTGAACTACATGGTCTTTTTAAGAACACGAAAAATTAAGGTACAAATATGATTCTTTTTCAAAAATCTGAAAAAGTCAAGCATATTTTGTACGTTAGAGGTTTCTAAAGAAAATTCTTAAATATACCTGTAAGATAAAGTTTAAAAAACTCTGCAAAATGCCTATTCCGATTTTCTCACATCTTGACATGAGAACATATAAACACAAATAAACTCTATTTTATGCATGAAAGTTCTTTATAATATATGGTCGTAATATCTCTAGAACTTTTTTGCCTTTTTCTCTATTACCTGCCTGTTCATATGGCTTTATAGAGTATTGAACGTTGACTCTTTCAAAAAAAAAAGGTTCAGTCAAAAATGTTAAGAATTGGCAAAAATATTTAGAAAATATGGAAAAGCTCATTTATTGTGCCTCATTATAATATCTGATCTATGAATGGATGATCCACTCAAACATCTTTCGTGAATCATCCATGTAAACGACGGTCAAATTTGTTCAATTGCTCTCAACCAGTGTAACTAACGTGTACTATTTCGTGGAAGCGACAGGAAATAGAGACCTTTGGATACGAATGAGAAAAAATATATATCGAGCTCGACTGTGAAAATAAACACCTTTCCTCCGTACTCGAAACACTTTACTGCATGCTTTCCTCTAGATGCTACTTCAACAGGAATTAAAAAAACATAAAGAAGAACAACTCTATGTATTTAGAGTTTAACTGCACTCGAAGCAAACATATAATAAAAATAGAATATATGCCTATAGCAGCTATTGGCATTATCCAAGTATCAAGTTTTAGTCTCTTGTTTACCACTCAACATTTATATGAAGTATAGTGATCCGGTTTTCGCTATATTATAGTCCATAGTGTTTATAAAACCCATTCGAAGGTTCAATGGTTCTACGTAAATATCACTTCTAGACCTTATCTTTGCAGTCTTGGGAATACCATTAAAAAAGTCTTTGACTACTGTTCTATAATAGTCTTTCAACCCATATTCGCAATTTACTTGTTATAGACTATAGATGTAAATGTTCTTAATGGCATGTTTCAATGGAGCACATTATCCTTTTCAAGTTCAACTACATTTTAAATTTTAGTTTTTCCCTTACAAAAATGAACAAATAAGAATGAGTGTAAAAATATACCATACAGTTTTGACAAAATCAGATATCTACTCTAATATGACATAAGTTTTAATTCATTAGGTAGAATTAAAGAGACAAAACGACATGCTTTTATTTTTATATAAGAATATGTATTTTACGCGAACTTGTTATGGATTCATCGAAAAACATAATTATTGCACAACAACTTTTTAATGATACTTACTTTTTCAGCTTGAAATAAAGATAAAATGTTCTAGTTGTATTGTAAATATGGACAAAGTAATGCATTAAGAAAGACAGAACCATCTCGAAAATATTTAATAAATTGTAGAACATTATTAAATAAACATACTCAAGCCTGAAACTGAACCATCATCTACTAATATTTCTTCATGAGTGCATCTTTATTCTTATTCTTAAATTTAAATTTGTTGTTGCTTTTTGTAGTCCTATTAGGCCAGCGTCTGCGTCATGGACATCATCATGCATGTCAACTTGTAAGAGGTAAGCTATCAACAACTGATTTATTGTTTCTTTTTTCAGTTTAGCAATGACACTTTAAGACGACAGAGCGGGTCTAGATGCTGTTTGATCCATTTCAATTATTTAGAATTCATGTTTAGATAAACATTGACTCTATCCTCAATACCATGACAACGAACGTACAAAAATAAAAAAGCCTGATGAGCTCGAACGAGAGATGGAAGATCCACCTGAAAATGTGGACAAAACAATACTTGATCGTATTCAAGGTTCAATGGTGGGCATGGCTTTGGGTGATGCTCTCGGTGCACCTGTTGAATTCAGACCCCCTGAGTATTTTTTCATAAATCCAGTAGCAGACCTTCAAGGAGGCGGCACTTGGCGTCTCAACAAAGGACAGGTAGAGATATTTTTCAGAGAAGTATCGACGAAGATTTATTCCATAGTTGAACATATCTCCTAAAGGTAGTCTTCTCTAGTGGTCAGAGAATCATACATATACCAATTTTTACTTTTCGATTCTGTTTTTAACAATAAAGAGACAGTAGAAAAAATAACAAAAACCAAAAATAACTCATATTAAGCAATTTTTGATTAAAATAGATTCTACTTTTGAAAATGATGTGATGAACAAATGATATGCATATGATGAAGCCTTAAGCTGAGAGTGTTTCAAAATCTCGATGAATAGTATAGTTTCGAAGAAGTGCCGATTTAAATGATATCAACTACTTTAAGTTTTGTCGATGAAGTTGATTTAGAAAAACTTCTCGATCAATGATTTTATTCTACAGTTCACTGACGATACTTCAATGGCTCTTTGTCTAGCAAGTTCATTGATAGCTCGTCGTGGCTTTGTTCCTTACGACCAGTTGGTTCGTTATAAATGGTGGTACAACAATGGTTATATGTCATCAATTGGAAAATGTTTTGATATAGGCATGGCTACTTGTGATTCCTTGCTTGAATTTCAACGACGTCAGAGAAATTTTGCCGAAAAATATAAGATTCCTTTGGAACAATTGGATTTTCTCTCTGACTTTGACCTTCTGGAAAAATTTAATGTATATTGTAGCGAGAATGGCGTAGCTGGTAATGGAGCGCTTATGCGCCTAGCACCGGTACCTCTTTTCTTTTATCGACAACCGATAGCAGCTGTTGAATTTTCGGGCTACAGTGGTCAAATCACCCATGGTGATCAAAAGGCTTATGATGCGTGTCGATATTATGGAGCTCTTATCGTAGCTACTCTTCAAGATGAATCGAAAGACAATTTATTAAGTGAGAAATTTTACCAAACCCACATATCATGGTTCGGTAATCAACGGCTTCACAAAGACATTCAAATGATTTCTGAAGGATCTTTCAAGAGAAGTGGTGGCTTAATGGATGGAATTCGAGGACAAGGCTATATTGTGAATGCTCTTGAAGCTGCTCTATGGGCATTTTGGTCAGATGAAAATTCGTTCGAAAAAGGTGCACTCTCTGCTGTTAATCTAGGCGATGATACGGACACAACGGCTGCTATCTATGGTCAGTTAGCTGGTGCTTACTATACCTACAAGAATTTGCCTAAAAAATGGCTTGATCATGCTTATGCAAGAAACTTCATCCAATGTTTGAGCAAATGGATTACATATGAAGGAAGCAAATGGAATTCAGAACATGTATCAAGCGCGACTAAAAAAGAAACAAAATAGCATCAACATTAAAAAAAAAGATTTCTAATAATTTTTATTTGACTTATTTTTGCCTGACCTAATAATTGTAGAGACTTAATAGCAAGTAAGTATGTGGTGAGTGTCAGTATGGTTATGAATATTGGTAAAGAGAAGATCTACGCCCATGCAGTCATACGTACTCACACATTTATTCGCACCTATTATCCACCTATCAACATCCCATAGCCCAAGGGGGAAAAATCTCATTCGGACATCCCGAGCCATTGCAAGCAAAATGGATATGTTCAGTGTTTGTCTACTATCGGGTTAAAGGTCAACCACAAGGGAGGACGAAACTACTCGGGCATTCCTGTCCATTCTCAGCCATTCGAATGGCTTGGAATGAGATTTTTCCTCCTTACCATAGCCACAGTGTGTAGCTTGACCTCATATTCAAAAGAACTGGTTGGCTAATTTTTTAGACTTGTCAATGTACTGATGTCCGAATCACGTGTATGCAAAGAGACATCAGTCTTGTAAGCAACATCTAGCAGTTTTAGATTCACAAGACTACCTGAAGCAAGTTTAAAAACAATGACTTAATCGGCTTCTTAACTTTATCTAAAAGAATCAAATCTCTTGTTGTTGCCCCATTATCTGCAATATGAATAATATTTTCATATGTCGGATAGTTGGCGATCGTATAGATAAGTGCTTCAATGTCGTTCTCAGGATCATTCCCACCACAAAGCCATACTGAATTGAATATAGACTTTGTCGAGTCGATTTGAATGGAGATGCCTTTATTAGGTTTCTTCTCTGGATCACAGAGGGTGTGGGTGAGTGTGGATCACCACCGACACCCACACACCCCACAACCAACCACACCCACAACCACCCTCACCCAACTCACATCCACACCCACACCCATCCACACCCTAATACCTTTTTTGATCCACCTGAAAGGGGCAAATACAAAGAATCATCGGGCTAAAATGGTGTGAGTGTCATTGAAGAGAAGATCCACACCATCACCCAAACTCACACTCCCGACACCCGCACATACACCCCACTCCTGATCTCTTTATTTGTTGGTAAGATTTTTACAATATTTGTTCTACTCGTCAATGTATTTATTGAGAATTACAATAGTAACATTCGGTTTTTGAATCAAAATCTATATTATAAAGGGATTCATATTTATTTGACGTTTCAGATTTTTTGAAAAATTATTTTGCTTGAAATTATCGAAGATTTCTGTATTTTGATTGGGAAATCGTTTGATGTTGCTGAATGTGCATTTTTATATGGTTAATTCATAGGTATGCCTTTGAATAAGATTTTAGCTGCCTCATCAATGGTAATGAACGAAGATTTATTGATATTTCTTGAAGGATATTTGGTATTCTATGCAATCGCTGGCATTAGATACAGATATCTCGCGTATGATTGATGTTCGCAGTAATTTCACATCGACAAAAAAAAACAGATAATAAAAGACCTAAGCTAAATACACTTTCTTTTGAAAAAAATACATGAAAAAAAGAAAATGAAGAGCCTACGCATATAGTGCTTATGAAAAAAAACCAAAGAATCTTTCTTAATATATCTGAAAATATAAAAGAAAAAAAACACTATAATAGAAGTATTTACATGGAAAAAAGCGCACGCGAGTATACTAATAGAGAATTAGTATGTCTTTATCTTTCTGCAAGCTCAAATGAATAACTAAACTAACCAATAAAGAAAGAAAAACAACAAACATATTCGTATTTTGTTTTTGTCCATCATTCCAACGGTGTCCACGATACTGATTGCCTCCCCATGAAGGATTATAATTTGATGAATCATAACCGGGACGATTATAAAAATTTGCACTATTATAACCTGAATAGTAACCATATTGTCCTTGTCCTTGTCCTTGTCCATCTAAAAAGAAATTCAAAAAAAGCAAATTCATTTTGTTATAGATATATTCTTACACTGTCCCTGTCCATATTGATAAGGACCAACACCTATACCAGCATATGGAAAATTTATACCTTGTATAGTTCCATGACCATGTTGATCTTGATTGGGAGGATGATATCGCCTATCTTTTTTTCCAAATACAATTTCATTTTTATTATCTTGTTGTGGAGAAGAGTGCTTTTGTGCATGAAAAATTCGAGGATTCGGTAGTAATGGTTTTTGATTAATAGAGTTCAATACTTGATCCAAAGTTTGTCGGCGGCTACGACGAACTCGATTTCCATCAATGACTTAACGTGCAAACAAAATCATCAGTAAACGATAATTAATTATTTCTATATCAGTGACAACAAGAGAGTGTGGGTGTGGCATATGATGGGGAATATGAATTTGCGGCAAAATCACTGTCACGAAAAAAACAAACAATTTGTCGCAAACTCAATAGAGGTATAGAGGCATAGTGGTATAGAGGTATCTAGATATAGAGGTATAGTGCTATAGAAGTATAGAGGTATAGAGGTATAGAGGCATAGTGGTATAGAGGTATCTAGATATAGAGGTATAGTGCTATAGAAGTATAGAGGTATAGAGGTATAGAGGTATAGAGGTATAGTGCTATAGAGGTATAGTGCTATAGAGGTATAGAGGTATAGAGGTATAGTGGTATTGAGGTATAGAAGTATAGAAGTATAGAGGTATAGAGGTATAGTGCTATAGAGGCATAGAGGTATAGAGGTATAGTGCTATAGAGGTATAGAGGTATAGTGCTATAGAGGTATAGAGGTATAGTGGTATAGAGGTATAGTGGTATCTATATTATAATAGACAAACTTTCTTCTTCAGGAACTTTCATATGATTGGTCACAGAACGAAAAAAAAGTATACATACATATATACATATATATATATATATATGTACGTCGTATATGTTCATTCATTATGTATAGATATACGTCGTATAGGTCCATTCATTATGCATATATATGTCAGTCATATTTGTTTTTCTTTCACATTATAAACCGAATAAAAGTTTATATATTTACAAAATAGAATAAATCTATTTATAAACAGAATAAAAGATTATCTATATCATAATGTACAAGTGTTTTTCAGTTCTTCGGGAACTCTCATATGATTGGTCACAGAACGAAAAAAGAATTTATATATATATATTTATATGTACGTCGCGTATGTTCATTCATTATGTATACACATGTCAGTCATCTATATTATATTTTACATTCAGGAACTTTCTTCTTATGTAAATTAAATCAATTTCTCCTATAATATTAAATTTTTCCGGTAATATTAAAGTTCAACCAAGGGGGGAAAGGCGAGACTCCCGTACTCCCGAAGTACAATGGGAGTCCAGGGAAGTACAGTTGAAGTATAGGGGAGTACAGTGGAGGTACAGGGAAGCACAACAGAGGTACAGGAGAGTACAGTGGAGGTACATGACAGTACAGGGGAGCACAGTGGAGGTACGGGGGAGTACAGTGGAGGCACAGGGAAGTAGAGGGGAGGTACAGGGAAGCACAGTGGAGGTACAGGGAAGTACAGTGGAGGTACAGGGAAGCACAACAGAGGTACAGGAGAGTACAGTGGAGGTACATGATAGTACAGGGGAGCACAGTGGAGGTACGGGGAGTACAGTGGAGGCACAGGGAAGTACAGGGGAGCACAGTGGAGGTACAGGGGAGTATAGTCGAAGTACAGGGGAATACAGTGGAAGTACAGGGGAGCACAATGGAGGTACAGGGGAGCACAGTGGAGGTACAGGATAGTACAGGGAAGTACAGTGGAGGTACAGTGGCAGTGAAGAGGAGTACAGTGGAAGTACAGAAGAGCACAGTGGAGGTACGGGGGAGTACAGTGGAAGTACAGGGAGCACAGTGGAGGTACAGGATAGTACAGTGGAAGTACAGGGAGTACAGTAGAGGTACAGCGGAGCACAGGGGAGGTACAGGATAGTACAGGGGAGTACAGTGGAAGTACAGTGGAGGTACAGGGGAGCACAGAGGAGGTACAGGGGGGTACAGTGGGAGTACGCACTCCAGGAGTCCCGCTTTTCCTCCTTGAGTCCAACCCTTCACAGGGGCCTCTAGTAGAGGTATAGTGGTATAGAGGTATAGAGGTATAGAGGTATAGTGGTATAGAGGTGTGCGTGTGGGTGGGTTAGAAAAACAGATGAACATCTACATCTACACACCCACACCTCTATACCACTATACCTCTATACCACTATACCTCTATACCTCTATTCCTCTATACCTCTATAGCACTATATC